GAACCATCCTCAAACTGTTCATTTATTTTTCCTCACTGAATAGTACATTGCTTTGATTGAAGCAACATAGCTTCTAACTCAGAAATATAGAATATGACAAAAATGATGACAACAGCATCCTTCTTGCTAAAATATTCCCAGCATAGCAAGCATTGTGCTCAGTGACATAGATGGCCCCAGCTAACCATAGGATACCGTAAGCATCACAGATTATTGCAAAAAGAAGAAAACAATTAAGCTATGTGGCCATGGCAACTGGTTTGATAAATAATTAAGACTATCATTTGATAATGACATACCACAATATCTTTAAAATATTTTGAAAAGTTGAAAAAAAAGTAAGATTCTAATCCAAATATGCCTGGTTACTAAAGGGCTCCTTGTGCACTTCATCACACTGCCTTGCATAAATGATTGCATGTGTAACACCTCAGTCATCAATTTTATAATGGCTCAACAGAAACATGGGATGGTGTTGTAAGGGATCTTGGAGGCCCTGTCCATTCTGAAACTTATATCGTACCATTTGCAATGTTATAGTGCCACTTTGTGGAGTGTTGTGAAATGCGGGGAAGCTTACATTCATCGGCCAGTTGCAAAACAGTATGCAACCTTTGTACAGGCATATTTAATCTGTGGACACTTTACTATGTGTGCATATGTACATAAACAAAAACATATACATCCACATCTATATAGTCATATCTCCTGATATATGTACCTAGTTATGTAGGTCATGAAAATCCCTAACATCTTAGAAATTATGATGTTGACATTACATTTTAGGCTTCTGTGAGTGTTAAGTAATAAAGCTAAAAAGTCACAGTAAAGCACCTAATAACATCACCAGTCAAGTAATATGATAACTAAAACACATTTGCATTGGCTTGAAAATTTAAAATTTCAGTTCTTTGACTTTCCAGTTATTTCAGAGTAATTAGAAAAAATGGAGAAAGTCCTTAAGAGCTAGACACCTGTGTTTTAGCCGACAATGAGCTGCCCAAATTGCTTGACTAATGCAAAATTCTCATTAACGTTTATTGTTTTATAATGTTGAATTAAAATGTTGCTAAATCCTTAGCATCAATTTTACTAATGCTATTTTGAGTATAAATAAAATCAAAAGCTCCCCTACCAGAAGAAACTTGATCAGAATCCAGAAGAGAAAGAAACCCTGCTCTTTAGGACATGTACAGGTATAATGTAAGAATCACATGTGAGAAAAGGTAAAAAGATGGCAGTATTCCCTCAAGCGTTGTGGTATGTTTCTTGGCAACATGTAAAAACACCTCTCCACTAAGGGACTCTGTGAAACAATACATGTTGATCGATCATAATTCAGAAAATGGATTCCAAATAAAGGGATATAATCTTAATATTATACCACTTAGCATTGTTCAGATTTATTACACAGGTTTTGTAAAACAAGGATAATTTCTTAAGATAATTTGCTTCAGACATGCAAGCACATGTCCTAATGAACCATGGCATGATTTTTACAAGATCTCATTTCCAGTGAACAGGTATTTGGTTTTCTTTAGAGCATGTATTTATCTAGAGTACTCTTAAAGGGTGCCTAGACAAATGGATAAATGCTGGCATCAGAATGTATTATTCATTGACAGTTTCTGAATGGCAGGTCATCAGGAGAAGAAACTGAAGGACCCTCAAAAGAAATGCTTTACAAACGATGTTATCTTCATTTCACAACTTGTTCTGAGAGATTTGCTCTCACATTCCACTTCAGCATAATGGTGAGATGGCATTGCATTCTATTGTAACATTTCTATTTCAGCCTTCTTGGCAAATGATAATCTATTACAATGTGCTCTGATATTTTAATTCATTCGGTGAAATGGTAAAATGAACAATTTTTTTGAATTGCATTACTATTAAAATTACATTAGATATATCTTTTGAAGTACAATCTGTGATTCTCTACTGATTTCCTTTCCTTATTCATTTTCAAATAAGCCAATTATTTTTTACAAATCATACATCTGAAAAGCTACTATGCTTTCAACAGTTTTTTTCCTAAATAAAAAAGTGAAATTGTTTTCATTGTGAATAAACCTTTATTATCAATTACAAATTCTATAGATTCCTGAACTGATTTATGATTCATCTCCTCAGACTCATTAAAGAATGTAGAAAGTATATTTCCACTTAGAAGCATTCAAGGAGCACATTACAGATAATTTGGTTCATCCTTCAAATAAAATATCTTAATTTATTAATTTAAAATATATTAATTTCAATGTTCCAATTTTGAACAACTAAAGAGGAATAGCAATTAGAATTAGGACATTCAAGTTAGTATATTCTGAATTCTGTCCTTATAATACTGTAAACTTTGAAAATTCTTGTTTAATTTTCACCTTGCTTGGTCATACCCAAGATATGTATACAAATTAGTTTATGATACAGATCAACTTGTCAGCAGATGGAATCTTATATTTTTATGTACGTTATTGCTAGAACTATAAATCTTCGTGTCAAAGATTCAAACATTTTTATCAAAATATGTATTATTTGAATACAGAATAAATTATAAATTATTTTATATGTAACATTTATTATTGTTTTATTTGCTGTTATAATTTAAGATACTATTTTGGAAATATAAAATAGCATGGCATAATGATTAATTCAGAAACATTAATATTGGATGTATTGATGTAACATTGTAACTTCATGTTTAATAGCAAATTCTATATTGTATGTAAAACAAATTACAGATGGCTGCTTCATATGATGCAATTTAAGCTTAAGTTACAGCTTATTGGCAGTTTATAGACATTTAATGCCTAGATTTGATGTATAATATTATAAATATTTTTCAATGTGAGATGACACACTTTAAATGTTTTGGAATTTTTACTTAGCTGGAATTAAATGTAATGGCTAATTCACCAGGAAAACTCTTGTATTTGGCTGTAAATATGTGACCTAAGGAAATCTGCTTTGTATGATCGAAGACTGTGTATTACATGCATCTGTCTCCACCTTGTGGTTATTCCAAATATTGCTACTTTCTAATTTTCACTGCTTCTTAGACATCCATAGGAGAGGTTGGGTGGCCATGGAAAAATGTTAATGCTTATCTACCTTTGAATTTTTATTTTTAGAGACAGAAATGAAGTAAAAGAAAAGATTTTCACATTATAGAACAATCATATAGATATATTATGATATCCCATTTCTAACATTTCTAAGTCTCTGCCAACATTATTAGTAATTTCTTGAAAAATATGTAACTGTGGTATAACGTAGCTTAATGAAATACTTCGGCAGTCCATTGAACGTATCTCTATCTATTTCTTTATCTCTTTTCTATTATTTTCTCTTTTTTTGAGGCAGAGTCTCACTCTGTTGTCTAGGCTGCAGGGCAGTGGTGTGATCACAGCTCACTGTAATTTCCAATTCCTGTGCTCAAGCGATCCTCCTGCCTCAGCCTCCCAAGTAGCTGGGACTACAGGTGCCTACCACCATACTTGGCTAATTTTTTTTTGAAATTTTTTTGTAGAGACAGGGTCTCACTGTGTTGTCCAGGCTGGTCTTGAACTCCTGGCCTCAAGCGATCCTCCTGCCTCAGCCTCCGAAAGTGCTAGGATTACAGGTATGAGCCACTGCATCCAACCAACATATCTCTATTTCTAAGCTTATTAGCTTCCTCTAGAAATTTCATACCATGTACAGGAAAGATTAGCCTAAACTCATATAACACTTTCTAAAAAAGTTACAGAACAAAGGGAAATGTATTTCTGATAAGCAGTGTCATTTCCCTTTTCCCCAAGAAGTGTCTTTAGTAATATTTCTTATACCTTGAATTAAATATATTATAATATTTTATATTTTAAAGACAAACTCTTAACTTCCAAATACACAGTTTTAAAATTTTTCATTCTATTCAAGAGCTGGGGATATTGCAAGGATCAAGGCACACTGCTCTGCTCTCAGGGGTTTACAGTCTACCCAATTTTGCTTTCATTGGAGAGTGAGATTTTCACAAAAGAGTGTCTAAGTCATAGATCACATCTGTCAATTCATATCCAAGTAAGAGAAAGTTGTCTAATCATTCACCTATCTGAAATGATTTGCAATTATTTAATCCAAACAAAAGTGTTCCTACTTGGTTGAACTATTAAAACCAAACTTGCCAACCATTCTACTAACTAAATATCTGTACCCCTTTTTAACTTCAAGTGTTATTGGGGAGCTTAATACTATGAAGAGAAGTTTAAAGTTCTATTGATATGAAAACTGTGATTTCCTCATGGTTCAGGTGTAAACTTCATGCCCTCTGCCCTGTCATGCAGTGACAGGCAGCAATACAGAGTCTCTGAGTTTAAATGTACATTTTGCATATCACAGAGAACTGGGTGGCATATACTTCATTTATAATATGCCTTTAACATATAATCTCACTAATTGTCCTTTCTTCCTAATGTTTTTTTATATTTATATTATGCACTATTTTAAGAAAAGAAAACAAATATGAATAATATATCTTTGGGGGAAAACCAAGGTCATACTATTCCAAGGACCTGCTGCTTGCAAAGATAAATCATAATTATGTTTCAACTTTTGACGCTTCAACCTTAACTGCCCAAAACACTTATGATACTTACATTAACTGAAGCTAAGAATTCAAATAAATTCAACATAGTTTTATGATTTCAGGATAAATTTTTATAAAACTTAAAAAGGCATAAGAAAATACTAATTATATGCTCCTGGGAGGAACTGTTTTTAAGAGACAGATTTAATACTTGGGTATATAATTAACTACTTTAAAATTAATGAGTTTATTTGCTTAAAATGTTCTTTAAATAAGAAAACTAGAAATCAGGAGGGGGCAGCTAGGAAACATAATGGAACTTCACTGCTAACATTTCTATCCCCAAAGCTGTTACTCTGCTCAAATATTAGACTTAGCATGTAATTCACAAGACTCGTGTTAGACTTGTGCCATAATGATGTAATAGGTGAAAACTTACCCTTTTCATTTCCATTTGCATAATTTGGAGGCTTGTTTTTGTCAATGCTGTTAAAGCTCTGACTTCTCCTATTTAAATTAGAGGCTCCCTGGACCTTGCTGCTGCTGCCTGCAGCTGGCACCCTAGAGGGCCCTGGAAGCCTGAAATAGTATAAGAAGAATTACATCATTATTGTACATCATGGAAAGGTAAAAAGCAGGGTTCTGAGCAAGGAAGAGTAAATAAGAAAATTACAATATGTGATGTTCTAAAATCTATTTAGCAGAAGATGGTGGTTTAAGTGACTAATAGCTAAACACAAGGTTGGAGATCTTCAGAAAAATCTTCTTTCACTTTGTAATAAACATGTTCCCAAAGAGTAGCAATAATGTAAAATAATCAAAATAATCTTTAACTTAAAAGTTATACTTACCCCACCCCCGATGAAGAGAATTTTGCCTTATAATTAATGTAGTAATTACATGAAAAGTAAAGAAGACAATAACACTTAACTTTAATATGTTCTCAGCATATTAATAAACAACTCACAGTTGTTGTTACAGTGTTCTTTTCAATGTATGGGGCATTTGTTTTTACAAATAAAGGTGGCTATAGTCTAAGTCAGCTCATATAGCAATTACAAGCTTTAATAAGAATAAAGCTATGGAAAAATTGAAAACAGCAAATGCTTATTGATTATCTAAGCTAATTACTACTCTAATTAAAACATGGTGCTGGGACCTAGAACATGAGTTAAATTATATTTGACTGGTCTGCCTCAACAAAAAACTCTCTCATTTTCTTGCCAAAAATAAGTACCTATTTATCTCCCAAGTGCAACCAACTGACCACAGAGGAGATATGACAAGAAAGAATGCAGATCTCAAAAGAAAATTGCTGTTAGCTGAATGACAATTTAAAATATACCTACAGTGACAGCATCTTCAGCTAGTCTTTGTGTATAAAAAACAGGTCATGAGGAAATATACACAGGCTATCTTACAATAGAGGCAGTCTGACAGGAGGTCCAATAACCTACAGTTATTTTATTGGATTATAATTAAATATAAATTTGCATCATTTATTTCACTGTTTAAGCAATATCTACATTAAAATTTCAATTATCAATTATTTAATGAGCTGTGTCTAAAATGTACAATTATGAGATTTTGATTTTATACTAACACACATTGTATAATAAACTAAATCCACATACATGAAAAACTAGAAATTAAGAACTAATATTGACATTCTAATATCATTTAGAAAAACATGATATTAAAGGTTGCCAAGAGCTTTGCTAGTATTTGCTGTCACCATATGAATGTCACTATGTACTACTGTGAAAAATTTTATTTGAAAAGAAAAACAAACAAAAACAATCTAGAATCTATAAATACAGTACTGAATATTTTTTGAAGTTCTCTTGTATAAAAATTTTAAATAAAAGATTGTTTATATCTGGTACATTGGTGCCCAATATATCAAAATTTCACAATTCAGTTGTTAATAAAATTTTAACTCACCTTTATAATACTATTTGATTATATTATTTCCATAGATTATTAGGAAATCAAATCCTTAGAAAATATAATGCTTTTATAATAGTAACAGGCATTGCAAAATGGAATGAACATCAGGAAAAAACAAATACCAGCTTAAAATCAAAAGTGTTGATTTTTCAGAACAGTTAATAGTTTCAAAATGTTGACTGTTTTAGAGTTTAAATACATATGGCTAATAAACAGTCCCTTCATCTACTTTGCTAATTAGAGGTTTTGTCATACACAAGATTAGAATCTTTTCCAAATGATTCCAGCATTTAACTTTTGCTCAAATGAATCTACAAGGGTTTGTAAGTATAGCACAATAACCACAGACACTAGGAATTTAAAGTACCAGTGATTGCACTCTGCAGACAGAACTCAATGAATTAATTTGGCCAAATATCCCAATCATAATACATCTCAACACTATTCATGTCGACATAACCATAGACAGAAAATTCATTCCAAACTCAATGTATAAACAAATTCTGCCACAAAACCTGCCCTGCTTGCAATGAAAACTGACCCGTTTCTAGAAAGCAATTAAAATACATTTTAGTCTTTACTGTGACCCATAAAGCCAAGTGATCTTCAGTCCTCAGAAGAACAAATTAAAAGAAATTAAAAAATTGCATTTGCTCTTCTCATTATCCTAATTTGACAGGCAGCCAGAGCCTCCAGATCATTCATCAAAGTAATAAAAGGGAAATGAGATGAAGCAAAGGGAGAGAGAAAGAGAGAGAGGTTCTATTAAAACAAAGTACTTAAAATATATTTTACATGCCCAAGTCTTAGAAGGAGTAATAAAAAAAAAATGCTCATTTGTTCATTGTACATGGCAGGTCACTGTTCCTTACACGTTGTAATTTAGATCATTTATTTTTAGTTTTTAATTAAATACTTTCTTAAATTTGTCTCTCCAGAATCTTTGCAACTACTATGAAAATGAATATAACTTAGAAAACCAAGGCAAGGGAAAAGGCACCTACCTCAATTCAAAGCATCAGAAGTAGTCCTTGTGGTCAAGCATTGTATAATATGATTCATTAATGGAACAATGACTAATAAACAACCACTGGATACTTCCCCAGTGAGTGAGATGGCACACAGAATTCACATCCTAATCAGAGATGCAAAATACTTTTGCTGTGCCTTCACTTAGCTCTTGCAGGATACCATCATGGCTTCAGCAACTTAGCACTTTTTTTAAAAAAATCCAATCTTTCAACATATTTTTTATGTATCAATATTTTCCAAAAAGTATGTAACGCTTTTATTATAACAGACTATCTTTAAAACACATATGTCATAAATAAGCAAAATTTTAAACTATTATAGATAGAAAAACAGTCCATGCTGACCTGGTACTAACTTCCCCACCAAAATATACCAATGTTTCTCAATTCTGCTTTAAAATGTACAATAATTAATGCATGCCCATCTCAAAAAGTAAATGCTTACTGTATAACTTCCAGATTATATGACCTGGAAAGAATGGGGCCTTCAAATTAATTTTTTTTTCTTTATTTGTACTAATCCTAGAACCTAGACTTCAGTCCAGTCATATCACTATGTATAACTAGACTAAAAGCAAGCCAAAATCCATTTAATTATCTAACACAAACATGCTCATCCCTGAGGCTATGTATGGAAATCTGCCTGGGAAAACTCAATGTTCTAAACTTCTCATTCGGAAGTGGGTCATGTAAAAAAAATTTAGATAGGACAAAATATCATGGGTATTTACTTGAATATCACTAAGAAGCAATAAATTAGAGAATATTAACTGACCTAGTAGGCTTTTTCTGACTGGTTGCAATTCCACTGTGATTAGACTGAGTTGCATATCTGGCTGCCAGACTGTATGAGGAGAAACAGAGAAATTGAATTAAAGAGATTCTTTGAACATGGAAAGAAAGTACAAACTTACGAGAAAACTATGAGTTAATGAAATGCAATTGGAACACATATAAACATGTATAAAGAACAAATTAATTAGAAAATTATGGTAATGCAACATATACAACATGACCTTCGATTATGAATGCACTATGAAATAATACCGTGCACCCCTCATAATAACAGGTGTTATCATTGACTTTAAATTATGGCTCTGTGACATTAATATTTTAAAAATAGTGTTATTTCACCTTATAAAAAATTTAGTATTTGAAAACGACTGAGTGAAAGTCATTGTCTCTCCAGAATCTTTGTGACTGCTATGTGACTACTAAGTGAAACTTTATATGATTGAAAGATCTTTCTTAAAACGTTAAAATGAAAAAGAAGAGTATGACATGAGAGTCAATTTCTTTAGCAAACTTCCCTAATTATTTTTTAATCTAAATATTATTTTGGAAGCCAAGTGATTAAAAAATCTAGTTTCTAGCTAATGAGTTATTGCTGGTCTTTAGTACTAGATTTTTTTCAAGTGAAAATAAAAGATGTTTTGTCTAAAGAAAAATCTATATAAAAATTGAAATTCAAGTGGCATTAAATTCTTCAAAACAAACAAGAACTATGAATGACAACTTTTGGGCATTGGTAAATCATATTTCTTAATAACTTTTTAAATTAAAATATTTATTCATTGGCACACAAGAAAGCAATTTTTAAACAAGTTTTGAAGAGCAATACTTTGTAAACAAAATGAAAATTTGTATATTAAGTTAAACTCATTTCTGGGTTACCTAAGAGTTCTGGAATCAGTGTTCTGAAGGATACAGTTAGACCCAATAGACCCAGGATATGTTTACACACCCTGTAATGGTCATAGGTTGATGCCTGAGTGGAGAACCACTTCTCAGGTGAATTGTGATGACTCTACATGAACCCAGTTGCTGTGCATGCACAGTGTCCAAGGCCTCCAAAGAAACAAGAACAACATGGGGGTGTTGGAATCACTTGGAACTCTGCTGCAGTTGAAGCAATTGCTTTGCTGCTAAGCAGCGGGTATTTTAGTAAAGGAAATGATTACTTAGGATGATGATGTGTTTGTTTCCTAAGTTAACTCTTACTACACTGAGCCAGTCTATGGTGAGAACATGCTGGTTCTTAAAACTACCTGTCTCAAGGAGAATATACCCTGCTATGGAGGGGGCTTTTCAGGTTCACAGACCACTTATTTTTCACATTTGGCATGTGATATATTATCTGCATATAATACATTTTGTAGTCTAACTACACTGGTCATTGAGACAACTGTCCACAACTGGCCAACCTCCCTCAGAAACAACAATCTCAGGGAATAATTTAGAAATAAAAACCAAACTCTCTTAATGCCATGAGATAGTAATTTAAGTTAAATTAAAAAATAAAAGCACCCAAGATGAAGAAAAATCTTTTGTGAACTTTTCAGTCTACTTGGGAATCCAAGAGTAAGCAAACTATTAATACTTACCACTATGTCTATGCTATACTCTCCTATACTATCTAACTTGACACAAATATTAGTGATAGAGATGACAATGAAACAATATAGTTCTTATTAGGGAGCTAAAGCCCCTTATTGATTTTTCCTCATGATTTTAAAGAGTTGGCATATTATAATTTCTAGTGTAGAATCAGAAAACCAACAACAACAAACTCCAGAGAAGTTGAGTGGTTTAGCCAAAATCAGTTTTGCTTTCTGATTCATGTGTATTTTCTTACTCATTATATAAGAATACTTTACTTGCTGCCTATATATTTATACCAAACTCTCACTTTAATCTCTTAAAAGTTAGCTTCTGCCCTGCTTTCTTTGCACTTGTGAAGCTGTTATGCCCCAGAACACAAGAATTTTCATCAGTTCTCGTGATGTTCTAAAGTCTTTGTATTTGACCAATTTGGTCCCACAACTTTTTGAATTTTTCCCTTTCATAGACTGTCATTCTAGTAAGCTCACCTGATTCATCTACCATCGTTCTTGTCCATTTGCTCTTTCATTTACTAGGTCGTCTTCTTATTCCCATCTCTTAATAGCATTATTTTTTTTCTAAGAGTATACACTCTTTTCCCAAACACTTTTTAACATCGTTTACTTAGTAATAATTTCTTTCCTACTAAATTTTCCACTGCAATTCTACCCTCTAGAACTTTACCCTCTAGAATGTTTTATATTCCCAACCGCCAATATCAACTGAAAAAAAGACTTGTCCATTTACATAATCTTCACGTTTACACACCAAACTTACCATTTTCTTTCTTTTATCCTCCCAGTCCTAATCAATTCCTTCCTTTGATTTCTTTTTTATGTCTATTCATAGGACCATTTTTTTTAATCCTGCGGGATTAAAGCCTTAATAGTTGACTCCTTGCTTTCTCCTTTCAATTATTGCAGAACAATCAACAACTAGTCATGCTGATTCAACCTCTACAAATCCAATCCATTGGCATCTATGTTCTCCTTCAATTTCCGTGTTTTATCACACTAATTCAAGCCTTCAACACTTTCCACAATACCTCTGGCCTAGAGGAATTCAAATGTTGTACTGTTTATCAAATTCATTCTCCAGAATGCAATATTAAAACCAGAAGGGAATATAAAATGCATCTAGGATTGTCTCCTGATACTATAAGTGAAGAAAGAAAAGGCCCAAAGAGATATAATAAATTTCCTAAAACATGCAGCTGACCAGTAAAATTCAAAGTAAAATTTGACATTCAAGGGCCTCCACAAAATATTCTTATGTTTCCACCTTTATGTTCTACTTTGTCACCCTATATATCTACCTAAGAGGAGTTCTTACCTCAATTATATTTGTGTATTATTCTGTGCTTTTACTCATACTATAATTCCTATGGGAATACTTCCTACCTGTACCTGTCATACCAAATTCTATCCATTTTTCAAGGACTATCTTAAATGACACCAACTCCATGCAACATTTCATCCTTTCTTTTTTTTTTTTTTTTTTTTTTTATTGATACAACATGAAGGGAACATTTCATCCTTTCTTAGACCCATATTACATTTCTATGCTTCCATAAATATTCTTGTACCCTTTTACATAACAAAAAAATTAATAAGCTACTTAAACCTTTTAAATAAGCTATTTTAACATAGGAAGTTTTCTCTATGATAATCTTTTTAATTGAATTATTATAAAGTATAGAATAGTTTATCAGAAAATTTCCTTGAAAGTACACTTGAAACATTGTGCTCAATTTGACAAAATTAAAAGAGACTATGAATACTCTAAGATCATTTTTAGGGAATAAAATTCTCGGTGTTTTGTGATTCAATCAAATGTACAAGACTATCATAGATATTGAGCATTTGCCAACTTTCTCCTATTAAAAGAAAAAACTAATACATTTTGAAGACATACTATGTCATATCTCACCAAATCAATAGTAAATATAGTAACAGGGAGTGTATCCTTAACACAATTATTGACTGGGCAATAGAAACAATTTTTCAAGGAGCTATAGTCCAGAAATAGAACAATAAAAACACACACAATGAATTACTCAACTGGACAAATGACGCAGGTCATTTAACTTATAAATTGCAAGAAAAAATTATGGAGGGAAAACCTATAGAGTATTATAAGAACTTACAATCAATTGTAATATAGATAGTCTTATTTGGATCCTGACCCAATAAACAACTGTTAAAATTTATGAGACAATTGGGAAAACTTTAACACCTGGATATTAAATTAAACTAATTAATTTATATTAATTTTTAAAGTGTGATAATTATTTTGAATTGTGAATATTTTAAAAAGAAATTTTATCTTTCAGAGACATATCTTTAATCTTTTTTATAAAATGAGACTGATAGTTGATTCAAAATAATCAGTAGTGGGATTAGGGACCTGGAATGGTTGGATATAAATAAAATGAGGTACATTGTGAGTTTATATTAGTTGAATCTGATTAGTGGGGTCTATGAGAAATTGGAATGGAATTTAGTATGTTAAAATATAAAAGGCAGGATAAGAACTGTTCTTATTTATTATCATTACTATTATTATTATCATTTAGAAAGTAATTATTCTGCCAGGTATAACTGCCACAAATGCTTAGCATATCAAAAATAATTAATATTATTTTTAGCAGGTTTATTCCATAAGAGTCTATTTTCTATTACTGAGAATGAAGAAAATATTATTTCATCAATTAACTCATTGGCCTTACCAATTTCATCATTTTTTCATGATCCCAGCTACTAACATACCATATTATACCAATTACATTTCTAATAGCAGGCTTACCAAAAAGCACTGGCTGTTGTTATATAAGTCTCTACCACTCCTAGATGCTTATAGACCAAGAAGTATGCACTCTTTAGAAAAATAATTTATTTATTTATTTGTTTTTTGCAGGCTCTTTAGCTTCCATTGGAAACTCAATGGGTGAATCATTACATTGGCTCAATATCTAATATTTCTATAATATTGTGTAATGTTCAAGGTGTTGTGTGTACATGTATGCATATATGTGTGTATGTATATGTGATTTAATTAGAAAGTTGTTAATTGTGGATCTGATTATAGTTTTGCTGCCAACCTGTTTCTATGTCCTTATTAATGACGCTTAAATGTCTGTTACCTCTCCCTGTTCTGTCTCTTCATCTGAAAAGAAGACAGGTAGATAGTAAGAGAGGCTTAGTTGAACATTAGTAATGTTATCCAAAAGTTAAGCCTAATTTAGGGTGAACAGCAATATTAAATCCTCAGTCTCAATATTATTCTTTTTTTCTCTTAATTTTTCTCTTTTAAACTCCCACATGATCAATCGCTCCCCATTTCTCATTACTTTTTTTGATCTTACTCAAAATCTTTCCTTCTCGATAGATTTTATTTTTCTTAACAACCTCTGTTGCCTATGCCTCCCTGGAGAGCAGAAAAGAATTTTTCCCCACAGTGCTC